TTAGTAAAAGTTACACCAGTGTTATTATAACCTTTCTCATTTTAAAATATATAAATTATTATTTAAAATTTTAAATTTATAATAAATAATTTAAATTATATCATAATATTAATTTTAAATAGAAATAAGTAGATTGTTAATTATAAAAGTAAGTATATATATATAAATAAAGATTAATTAAATATAATATAATTATTATTATTAGTAATATAATTATTATATATATTATTATATTTTTATAACAATCCAGATGCACCGAAATGAGAGGGATCTAAAGATAGTACAAGTATGACATTGTATAGTTGAGGATGACTTAAATGAATTGATTTGTACTATTTATACTGACAATATGCATCTACTCTTTGGTAGCTTATCTCATCAGAACTTCACAGTTAAGCGTGCTAGGCAGAGGCCAAATATATGGGGTGTTACATTAATAAACTTATTAAAATTAAATAGAAATTTTTCGGCGGATTTATCCATCGGAAACAATTTAATCCATCAAAAATTTCTGACAGATATATCCGTCAGAAATTTCTGACAGGTATATCTGTTGAAAATTTTTGACGAATTAAATTGTTTTCGATGAATTTTTTTTCCAACACCCCTTTTTTCGATGGATGCCTGTTTCCGACGGATATTCCTTTATTTTACAATCTGACAAAAATTTGCATTTTTCTTGTAGCGTTCATACATGTTTAAGACTTGATAATTTCCCTCTGTTAGGTCAAAAGACAATCTTATATCTCCTTTCTACTTAAGATGTGTTGTTAATAAACATAGAAGTTTTTTTTATCAATTGTATAAAGTTTTCAAAATGATTAAAACAATTTTTTCACTAAGAAGCAATCCGTTAATAAGATATGAATAATGGCTAAGATGATAGTTTCATTAGGACGATTTTGTTAAAGAATAAGACAAATCCTTAGTCATAAAAAGAAATACGCATTAAATCATTATCATTTACGATTTATAAATGAGAAATAGACTACATTTGAATAATTTCTTAACATATCAAATTTAAAAATGTTTCCCCGATACCAATTCTACAAAAAAGAAAGAAAGATGATTTGCATCAGAAAATGACAAATAGATCTCTACAAACACAAAAAGTTTTAGCCAAAAGTTGTTTTATCAATGCAACGTCTTGACACGAACATAGTTCTACCTACTCGATGCTAAAAGGTGATAAAGAACTTATTTGATTAGATAAGAAGTGACAATTTAGTAAAAGCATTCAATATAAACATTTATTACATCAATAGATATTTCTTTCTTCAAGAAGTAAATCATCATGAAGACAGATGAAGAACACCATGAAAGAGAAGATCAAGGATTTTTAACAATTATCTTAACAAAGTCATATGAAAGGAAGCTTGAAGCTCAAAAAGAAAGAGAGAGATCAATTATTATAAAAACTACATTTTTTCCTTTATGTAAAAAGTCTTTATATACGTATGTCAAAAATTTGTTGTAACGTATTTGTTTTGCTTCAAGTATGTAAAAAATTTACAGATAATAGATGTCCCCTAAAAGATATTTGTTTTGAATTGCATGAGAATAAGTATTTTTTTATAAAAAAAATTATTCATTTCTTTGCTTTTTTTACTTAAACCTATCTTTCTCGACATAACTTTTCTAAGAAAATCTTCACATTAAATGTTCTGACTCCAAATCATATCAAAGATATTCTATTTCACCTAATTGAGGATTTGGCAACTAAAAACACTCTAATCCATGAAACCTATAACGATTATATCAATCTTAATTATGAGCCACTTAATTTTTATATTCTAACAAATGTTTCACTATAATTGGTCTATTTTTCCATTGCTTAATGATCGTTAACGAAAACTTGGTCTTGTAAGCATGTACTATGTGTTTAGTCATTTTTTATGCAACTATTTTATTGTTTGTATATTTACACTTTTAATTTTAAAAATTAGGATCATAAATAATATTCAAATATTTATGAATACGTTATTTTTTCATTTCACGAACACAAAAAAAAAAAAAAAAACTTTAAAAAAATAGGGTCAGCCGCCTGATTTTAATTGATCTTTATTGGAGTGATTTATGCCTTCAATTGACAAAAAAAGAAAACTGTCACACCCAATAAATCTCTTATAAATTTATAGATACTCATGTTTTGTATGCTAATAAAAATGTCCGAAAAGCTAAGAAATAAAATAGTTTTTATAACAAAAAATTTGAACGTTTTTCATTTCTCTTCTTCACCAATCTAATTGTTATTTTCCCGTAGTTATTTCTGTCACAACGAGTGAGGCAACAAGTTATTCGATAGACAATTATTAATATTTGAGATTGGATAAAAAGAATGGAAAAGTGAAACACACAAACAAGTTTATTCTTAATTATGATTATTGGAACAACACGTCAACAAGCTATAGCAATCCTAGTTGCTATTGGTTAAACACACGAACAAGCTTATCGTTGATGATGACTATTAGATAAAAAATATGAATTAATAAGCTAGCAAACCTAGCTAACCACTGCCATGGAAACGATCCTTAAGCTTCTTCACTTGCGCAACATCAAGGAAGGTAGTCTGTGCAAGTATGTCAGAAGGTAGGTTGTTGGAGAATATATCATTAAATGAATGAATACCAGGGTTTGAGCTACTAAAAGCAGCAAAAGCAACCACTTTGTCCTTCCCATAATTTGCTACAAAATGCATAAGTCCTCGTGGAATAACCATAAGATCTCCCGGTTTCAATGTCTTCACATAAGATGCATCATGTGTTAAGAATCCAGCAGTCATTTGACCTTCCACCATGATTATTAGTTCAGTGGCACCGCGATGTGTGTGCATTGGAATATATCCACCACTATCCATAATCACACTTAATGCAGAGATGTCAAGACCGTTGAGAGCAGGAAAGTCGTTAACAAACGCAGAGCTAATTCCTGTTTTGATAGGGTTTGAGGTGTTTGAAACTGGAAGGCTGAACACAAAGTTATCTACTGTCAAACTATTAGGTGGCAGGCACTGATAGCCAGAAGGGCTATTTGGACCCTTGAGGTCTGCTACACAGAAATTATTTACTTTATCATCAGTAGCATGTGATGTGAATGAAAGAAGAGCCAAAAGGAATGGAATGAGAACCATATTCTTCATCTTGGATGAATGGATTTAGAACATATGAAGGAGAGTGTGGAATTGGCTATATATTTATAGGGCTAGTAGGAGATAAAAGATTTGCAGAAAATAGAATGTCAGTCTAATTGTATTAAAGGCTAATTCACCAAATTAGGTCACTTTTGGAAATTAACTACTAAGATGGTATAATATCAAACTGGATCTATTTTTACTATTTATGCTATTTTTAACTATAGAAATTAGGTTGGCGTTAAAAAAAAAATAGAAATTAATTATCAAAATAAGATATCATCAAATTCGGATTGTTTTGGCGGTTGAATGGTCTATTTTCATCACTGACCAGATTAACTCGAAAGTCAAATCACACTAATCACATTTACTACTTTTTTTCCTTTTTTTCTTTTTCTTCTTTCTTCACTTGCCAATCCACTTTAAGATAAGGTGGACGGTACAACATTATTAATTAATAGCCAAAAAAAAATTTCACACAAGAAAACTAACAAATAATAATATAAAATTATCATATATAACATGTATTTTATTGTGTCATAATATTTGTGATTAAAAATATCTTTTTCCTACATTATAAGTATAACAATATGTGTCAGTATATTGTTAAATATTATATGCATAAGCTGCAATGACGTATAATATATGTTATTAAATTTTATTTAAAATTATCATTAAAATTATATATAATTATATATAAAATAAATGTATATTTACATATATTATATTTATATTAACATTTTTTGTAAACCGTTGTATATAACATTTCTTGTAATGAAATTATACTATATATGTGTGTTAGCAAATGAGTTGTTCAAATTCAATTTAAATAGTCCATTATTGAGTAGAGTAATTCTTTATATATATACTCTTGAATCAAATGAATTTCTCCTATACAAGTGTGTGTATTTTTAAATTATATAAATAATTAGATTTTATATTAAATTAATATGAAATGTTTCAAAATAATATTTATTGAAGGACAATTTTTTTCTTTGTTGAGAAATGCTAAAAAAATCAAGAATAAAAATGAAATCATTTATGCGTATGTATTAAATAAATAAATAAGTTAAATGTATTTTAATCCCTAAAATTTATGAAATTTTTTATCCCTCAAGTTTAAATTTTTAGTCTATGTAATTTTTAAAAATATTTTAGTCCCTCAAATTACCAATAATATATTTAAAAGTGACAAACTGAGACAATTATGCACCATCAGTTAAGTTTAATGTGATATTTTCACTAACAGGAATAATAGTAAAAAAAATTTATTTAATAATATTTGATAGATTTGCTAACAAATTAATATGAGTATAAATATTAAAATAAAATTATAGGGACTAAAAGAAAAAAATTTAAATTTGAGAGATTAAAATAACATTTAAACCTAAACTAATTATTCTAAATTAAAAAAAAAATTCGAAGCAAAAGAATATAGTAATTTAAGGAAAGAAAAAAAAAATTAAATTCCGATACTCTATATTTTAATGCACAAATAATAAAAATTAAATAGAAAATACACTAAAATTATTGTATAAATCTTCTAAAAAAACTTTTTAATTTTTTTAAAATTTATATTTTATATCCATGAAACAATGAGTTAAAGTACAAGGTTAAACCAATACAACAATCTATCAAATCAATGAATTTAATTAATAATCATAAAATACATTAAAGTTATTATATATTAAAATATTATAAATATATGATTATTCTTTTATTGATAGTGTGGATTTGGTGTACGCCTTTTATAATTTCAAGTAACTTATGAATATGCATGAGTATTTTTTTTCTTCTTAATTATGTGTGAAATAAAGATTGTTTAATCAGTTTTATATTAAATTAGAATAAAATAATAAGATAAAAATGTGTACAAAGAAAAAAAAACAATGTAAATTTTATATGAGGCACAATTAATGAAATTCATATTTATATAAATTATTTAATATCATAAAAATGGGTTATTTACCTCTAATTAAAATCATTTAATTGAAGAATACATAATATCATAAAGAATATAAGCATCATACTCTACGTAGTTAAGCAAATGAGTTGTAAAAGCATGATAATAAAATAATTGAAATCATGCTAACAGAAATAATATTATATTTTTCAATTAAATATTTTGAAGTTAAACTATGAAAATATATACAAAAAATAAGGAAAATGAAACAGGTATAGATAATTATTAGACTTCTAGATGCTAAATGATTTTGAAAATTTAAATATCAAATGATAAAAATAAATAAATTATTTTACAACTATATTATAAATAAATATGAAAAATTATTTTAGTTTCATAAATTTAGTTTATTTACATATTAACTCTCTAAGATTTGGTTATATCGCATTATTGATAATTTAATAGAATTAATAATTAATTTGTAGTTATAGAACTAGAATCAACTTATATTTAATATAGATTTTCCTTTACATTTCAATATCATTATAAAATAGTGGAAATAAATAATATTATAAAATTTGTAAAATTATTTATTTGATATTAATCATAATAACAAAATAATTAAAATATATATATATATAAGTTGATTCTA